AATTAATACATTTCCCCTTTGTTTCCCACATCACATCATATGTTGCAATCTTATTAATTAAACCATGCAAAAATTGATTCACGTAATTAAATTTACCTTGTAACTCATAAAATTAAGAATACTCTTTTTGAATTTTTTTTATTTTCACTTAGATGAGTGAAATACCATCATGCATCATGTAGATGTAGTAGTAATTAAATAGAGGATATAATTAGAACGGGATCTTTTCTTTGAAGATTTGTTTTGTTGCACTGTCGTTGCAGGGCATGGCTTTCAACTTTCAAGAAGAGATGGATATTTTTGTATTTCCACATACCACCAATGACGTGTATTATGAGTTTTCACACATCCATGGATTTGGATTCTGGTTACCGTAAGATACCAATATTCACAATTGTTGTTTCTCTAGTACAAGATTTCTCTTACTAAATTTGATAAATTTGAAATTTGATTACCATTCTTAATATTAAAAAAACATTAGTATCACCAATAACCTATTCGGCTGAGTGGAAGAAATTCGATTTTTCTTAAATAAAATCTAACTTGAATTCGAGTCATGTGAATGAAAAAACAGGTACCGATAATGTAACATCCCCTTTTTAATAGACCTCCTGGTTTACCAAGTAGAGAAATGTACTCTTCAACATAAAAAAAAAAAAAAAAAAAAAAAATTATTTATAAAAAGGATTACAACGGTACCGATAATGTAACATCCCCTTTTTAATAGACCTCCTGGTTTACCAAGTAGAGAAATGTACTCTTCAACATAAAAAAAAAAAAAAACAGTAGGAATTATTTATAAAAAGGATTACAACGGAAGTAAAAACTCTTCTAATATAAAATGTTTTCCTTTAAGGAATATCCGCTTTCAAAACAATTTAAAATTTCATAGAAAGAAAATCATTCATCTACAAGGAAAAACTATATAAATGAAAAATGTCTTAACAAAAAATAAGTCAGGTTCTACCCATTTAAATTAATCTTAATGTCATATACATAAAAGTAACTTATACAAAAAAATACATGAAAGCAATTGCTTTTCAAAATACTTTCTAAAATAATGAAAGCAAAATTATCGTTTTAGTAATATATTATTCCGCCTTCACATCAAAAATACTAAGGTTAGCATACGGGATTTATACCGAGAGCTTTCAAGCTGAGTAGCCGCTACTCCAGTCTAGTAATCTAAGATGGGGGGTGGATTTTATGAGCTAAAAGCCAAGTAAGTATTAAGTTTAAGTTATAAACTTGGGTCCTAAGACCTTTAGACCTATACACACAAAGAGCACAAAAGGCAATTAAACCGCATCACATAATATTATAAATCTCAGTGTTTAAATAACAATTTAATAGCACAAATTAACTCACAAATAATCAAACATGTCAAGGAACAACCAATGACATTTATATCAAATTCATATCGTAAAACTATGT